GTGCCATGCGTACTTGGTAGAGAGGTTGCCAGCTGTGCTGTTGCACACCTGACCCCAGTTGGAACGACACAACTCCTCGGCGTGCGCAGTTATTTGTGTCTGTAGCGTAGCCAGTCGGCGTCTTAACGTTCGGTTATGTTTCTGTCGTTTCCATCTCTCCAGTATGCTGTGGTGCGCCTCCCAGAGGTGGGCTAAGCGAGTGTCCAATGTAGGGGTGTTGGGTGGTGTGGTAATCTTTTGTGTGTGTGCGGTTATATCATCTAGGAGAGATGAGACCCAATGATCAATGTCTTGTATCGGGGTATTGGGGAGTTCCCGACGAGGTGATCGGATAGCGTCCCAGTGAATCAGATTGTGGGTGAGGAGTCGAGGTCTGTGTGGTGTGTGAGGTATTTGTATGGCAATAATATAATGCTCGCTTCCAAGTATGTGTTGTGTACGAGACCATGAGATATCTTTGAGAGAACGGCTGAGTGTGAGGTCTGGACTAGTGTCCATTGTTACGCTATTGCCGATTCGGGTTGGTGTGAGAAAGTTGTTATGTGTAGTGAGGCGCAAGTCTTGAATGGTAGTCCAAAGCCTGCGACCCCGTGCTGTGTTGTACCGATAACCCCAGTCTCTATGCTGAGAGTTAAAATCGCCGCCTATGAGTAGGGTGTTTCGGCCCGCGATGCGGTGAATTCTCTGCAATAGCGCATCGAGAGTGGCCATGGCCTGGCGTGGGGTGTGGTAGATATTGGCTATAAAAATCGGAGGTGTGTTGAGTTTCGTGGGGATGAGTTCTATGAGGACGCACGGAGTGGAGGAGGTGATTGTGTGTTCTTGGTAGGTAAGGGTGCGATGAATAAGTGTGGACACTCGGGGAGTGTCAGTGGGGTCTGAGTGTACTGCATGGTAACTTGGAAGTTTGGCTTGGTGTTGCGTGTCCTGTAACAAAAGAAGTTTGGGTATGGCAGGGAGGGCAGGTATTAAGAGCTGCAGCGGTGCGCGCTTGCCCCTAAAGCCGCGGCAGTTCCATTGGATTAGTGATAGGTGGGTAGAAGTATCACGACCCGCCATATTGGAGCGTGGGCGGAGCTAGGATTGAATGTTGTTGCTGTAGTGGAAGTGAAATAGAAGGAGCAGGTGTGTGTGAGATGTAGGTAGAAGACCCCTCATGTGATGAGCTGGTAGTTGCGAGCCTCTGAAGGCGGGTCTCAAATTGCGTAAACCTAGTTTCTAGAGTTTGGGTTAGGCGTGTGAATAGTGCATCCATCTGTTGCTCAAAACGAGTAGACAGCTGCTCAACTATCGTTGAAAATTTAGCTTCGATGCGCGCCTCCAACGCTACCAATTTGGCGTCAAATTTGGCTTCCAAGTTTCTTAGGTCAGCCTGATAATCATCGACTGAGTCTGAACTGCGTTTCTTTTTAAGGGGGGTGAGGAGTGTGTGGCGGGGCTGTTGGGTGACTGCGCAGTGGGTGGGGTGACTTGTTCTGGGGACGGCTGTTGCGAAGGAGGTGAGGGGGGAGTAGGGCTTTGTGTTAGAAGGGTCGTGAGACGGCTTACCTCCACACGCAGGGCCCGGAACTCCTGGTCACGGGGGTCCGGGGCAGGCGGAGTGTTGGTTGCTGTTGGTCTGGTCCCATTGGGCGTCTTCAGCTTGTCCGCCCATGGAGGTTGGTCGGAACTCTTCGACTGCCCTTTTCGTTGGCCGGCATGTGGCTCAGAGCGTTTGGTGCTTGCACCGCGTAGTGAGTGGTCTACTCCTTCCTGTGATCGTGGTTCGCGTGGTGACTTGAGCCTGGTTACTTTAGGTAGGTGCCGGTGCTTACACTCCCGGGTCCCCGACAGATGTGGGCCTTCGCAGATGATGCAGACTGGAGTACACGTTGGATTTGCCTCCTTCGGGTGTAATTGGCCACATCTGGGGCACCTGTGCGTCCTAGGTTGTATGCATACATCCGTGCGGTGGCCTATGGTCCGGCAGTTACTGCACGTCTCGACCCTTGGTGTATAGGGCGTGCACAGATGCAGTCCTCCACCATAAACAATCTTTCGTGGGACGGTGGCTTGTCCAAAGGTAATGAGAATCGATCGCGTGAGTCCCATTCGTCGAGCGTCTAGTATAGTTTCGTGTGGGTTGCGGGAGATCAAGTCCGCGAGTAGTTCTTGTGGTGATTCCTTCCAGTAGGCGTTTGTCATAACACCCCTGACTGAGCCATCGGGGGGTGCGATGTATGCCGTCATGGCATACTCATGCTTGTCGTGGGTGATGTGCTGTAGCTGCACAAGCTTGAGCGCGTCCTTTTCATTCACCGCAGACACTGTGCAAGTGTTATCGACAGGGTGAATCCGGAGTGTCAGCGTAGATGGGTCGGTCAGCGCAGCGGCCTGCATGAGAGCGGTGAGGAGGTAGCGTGGCTGGAGCGTCGTAAGGTCAAGGCCTCCCTGGGAGTGGAACACCACTTTAAATCCGTCGAGTGGAAGAGGCGGTAGTTGCTTGATCTTTTGGGCGGTTGTATGGAGAACGCGCAGCTGCGTCGAAGAGCTCTGTAGCCCGGGAGTTGTGACGGTCTGCGGAGTCTCGCGCGACTGGCTCGGCGTCTGTCGCACAGAAGGATCGGCGTTCGTACCGTGGGTCGCGTTTCGTGTTTCCTGGAGGTTTGCCTGGGCTCTGAGGACTTGGGTCCAGTCCCGAGGGTCATACTGGCTTGAGTCCATGTCCGTGCCTTGTACTCGAACCTCCATGCTGGCCTAAGGTGAGGAGGCTGCGGCGCGACGCGTCGCAAGGCCTAGCACGGCGGTGGCGCGACGGGGCCTGGTTTTTAGGCCTGGTGGCCCTCCTGCGGCTCGCCGAAACCTCAAGAGGGGTTAGTGGAGAGCGCTCACCTGTATGAAGGCGTTCGTGTTGTTGAGAGCACTCGAGATACCAGCGATTGGCAATTTTCGCTGTCGCGGTACGGAGCCGAAGCGAAGTGCTGCTGCACTCCAAGACCCCTAGCAGCCAATCATCTGCTTGTTTGGAATCTTTTTAGCGTTGGTCCTTAAGCACCTGGAAATCATTAATACTCCAGGACTAGTGTGCGCGATAATAAATGGTGGTTAAACCCGTTTATGTGGCTAGTTTCTGCGCTATTTGGAATAAAGATAACAAACGGGGCTCCAACTCGTCTGCACGTAAACAAGAGTGCCGCAAAGCGGCTCCGCAATGTAAAGTTTGGTGAACAACAAGACCGGTTGAACCTGGTGCTCTGATAGCGAGCATAGCTGGCAAACAACGATCTATCGAGGCGTGAACGAGTTCTCTCTTTTTCGGTACAAGCTCAAACGGTGCACATCCAGCCCAACTTTGCGAGAACGAGTATCATAAGCAGATTACTCGTCAACGCTAATCGAAGCTTCAGTTTGGTGTCTGCAGATTGATTTGGGGCCACTTTGCAGCGATATTCAATCCTATAACCGTAACTCATTCGTCAGTGCCAGCATCACAGATATACCACTCTGTGGCCACAATTGACCATTTTGCTGCAGAAACCAACTAATCAATATCACCATCGTACTGTCGCTTTACAACATAATTACGACACAAACGACACTGCTTTCACTGCATGATTCTGTAGCCCCAACACGGTGTTCTAGTGGTTATGGCACTAGAGTGCCACCCTGAAGGTCGCGCGATCGCATCCCGGCGGCATTTTGCGATGGAGCCGAAAATGTTTGTGGACCATGTATTTAGATTTAGGTGCGCGTTAGAGAAGACCAAGTAATCTAAACGTCCGGAGCCCACGACTATACGGCATCTCTCATAATCGTATTGTGGCTCAAAAAGGTTAAAGCCTCCCATATTATTGTACGAAGTTGTCTTTCTCGTTCTGTTTTTCAAAGGTGGTAATAAGAGCACATTAAAATATACACTACCATGTGTTTTTATGTGGAGGCCCTGTTTATATAGCATTTTATGTCCGTAATAAACTTTATTTTCTTCTGTAATATATACCGCGATGCGAAGCGCCAGCGCGAGGAAACTTCAGTGTTTTGATTATTTGGTTCATTATTTAGGTGATTATTAATAGCACACCCTATTATACAGCTGTCGAGCAACGAATTGTCGAGTTCCGTTCAGTAAAGGAGGGGGGCTTAATGCCCCTTCTGTAGTTTTTTAATGTTGCTTGCGTGTACCTACGCAAATATATGCAAACGCACGCATGAATATACATGGAATTTGGTTTAACCCCACACGCTTTTCCCCCTTTCCGAAAAAAAAATATTCTCGCTATTTCCACGCGGGCAAGTACTGATGACTGTCATGCCGATCATGATGAGTCAGCTGTTGTTCTAGAAGTCATCTTAACACTGATTACACTGTTTAGGCTGTGACAAAAACGTTTGTTATACTACTGCGCACTTAAAGAAGAAATTGAACAGGCGGGAAGTGGGTATTGAGAGGGGAGGGAGGCATTCATTTGCAATCTCGTTCCCCGCAATGTCTACAGATCATTAGCTTGCCTACAGGCACATTGCTTTGGCGCAGGTCTACGTTCTTACCGCCAATTTTTGAGCTGTTCGCTGCCTGAGCGCATGTATAGCGGTATATTATTTAAGCCCGTGCAACACAGACCATCGGAGGGTAAAATTAGGCTGCCAGTTCGGCAGCGGAAAAATAATGGCGCACAAAACATATTCGCTACTAAATTTCGTTCGGTTAGATAGTTAGGTTAAGCAGGGTTAATTTCTCTGCTTAAGAACATAAATATTTTAATATGAGAGTTAAGAATCCCTTTCTTGCAAGTCTTTTTATGCATATATTCGAATCACCGCCCCTTCTACGCTCTGAAACATTGATTACAGACAGTAAGACTATACTGTGACAAAGATTGCATTCTGGTAATTTGCGGGTTTCGTTCATGTACCAGCTGGTTTGTCATACAATGAACCCAGTACATTACATGACACAGAAAGGTCATGGTTATCATGGTCTGATCACTTAGTGAATCAAAAGCACTGAACAGGTTACGTACCAATGATGATCAGTCTGGCAAGTGTAGAGCTCCTGAAGACTTTTCCCGTGAGTCTGTGCTTGGCCTGGCAATAGTACTTGCGGTGGCTGTCCGTGCTCGTGTCCACTTGGCGGACGTGTAGCTCACCAGATGGAAACACAGTGTAGCGACCACCTGCGTCACCGGTGACGTTAGCACAAATCGTACGCCACGTGGATGACATTCCAACAGCAATTTAACCCATACACGTAGTCTGTAGTTATCAAACAGAACAACGAGCAATACGAAATCATTCTAAATATATAAAAACTGTAGCTCTCCTAAAGATTCCCGGATCTGCGAGCGGCATCAACGCTTTTTTTTTGGGGGGGGGGGGGTAAATTTGCAATGTTCAGTACATTCTAAGAAGACAGAAAGAGTCCTTCAGTGTTTTTTAGAGACTCCTGACTTGCTATGTGTATGACTCTCTTTAAATAGACACGTCAAATCCAATTCACTTCGGTAATCATTGCACTCTTTTCTGATAGTGACGTGACCCACATAAGAGTTAATTGCTTATTTAAAAAGAGCTGTTACGTGGCGATTCAGCACTATCCAAAAAGGATTAAACAAAGCTTTTTTTCGGGAACAGTGCAAGTCAAGTGAAAATATATCTCCTAGACAGTTCAGAATTATGCTCAAAACGTTCACCAAAATATTTGTGAACGCACTCACTACTTTTCGTTTGGCCGCATAATTCAGGACTTAGCAAAGAAACTTCGTAATCATTATAATGGGCTCATCAGCGTAGTTGAGAGAATCATCTCACTTGAATCTGTGTCGGCGTGTATGACGAGTCCATCGTCCCGCACCCATGACGTCACCGAGACGTATTCCTTGACGAAGCTCGGTATCTGGCAGCGTAGGACGCCCGTGTTGCCTTTGATGACGAACTCGTCGTACACTTGTACATCGAACTCCTGGTTCACTGCTGCGTGCATAAAGAGATAAAGAAATAAACACACACGTGAATTGTAGTGAAGTCTATTTGCGTTCATTTTGCGTTTACGCCCGACTTCACGTTCGAGTTACAGTAGGCAAACGCGTGTCTATCATTTTCACCTGAAGGGAGCGCTGGGCTGAGAAATGGTCTTTTCGCGCTATGTATGGCATCGCAAACAAAAATGGGGGGGGGGGGGGAGATTTGTGAGTATGAATGTATTCAGATGACAATGGCTCGGTGGAAAAGGAGAAAATTGTGTTACACACCATGAGCCCTGTGTAGGAATAGTTGAGAAACAAGCAGTTCAAAAATGTTGTGAACAAACTATTGAAACATCTTCATCAGTTCTCAATCAGCTTTGCTGTAAGCTCTGAGAGAACTGATTGAGCTTTGCTGCTGTGATAGCCGAGTAAATTCACGACCAAAGAAAAAAAAACAGACGCCTACTAGCATTGGATTAGTATAAAGATTATGTCTGAAAAAGTTTTTATAACAGTTTGACGAACCTGGACCAGTGTTAGCTTCGTTCCGAATAAAGAGTCCGTGTAACAGCTGCCTTATAACTTGGCTTGAGAATATCTCTCAGCAAGACCAAAACACAAATTGTCTCTCTGCATATACGACATACACAATCTACATGTGTATACACAGTATGCACATGCACACACGCAATATACACACGTGCACAGGCTCCTAAGGCACTTTGTTCGGTTTGAAGATACACAAAAATAAAAACGACCCTTTAGGGCGTCTTTTGCCGAGCAACAATAGTAGTGATTTCTTCTGCGTACTTGCGTTTCTTTGCTTAAAAGCTACGTGCTTGTTATCTTTCTCTCAAGAATGATACTGCCCCTTTAGCGCACGCCGTGCTCCACCTAAAGGTATCGGGTGCGAGGCAACGAAGCAAAAAAAGCCCTTCAGACAGATGACGGTTATTGCTGTTGTGTTGCAGAAACCACAAGCATAGAGGCAAATTGAACCATCAAATATTGAAGGAGGAGGATTGAAAGAGGAAGGAAGCATCAAAATCAGGGAATGATGTGGTGGTACCATAGCAAAAGAGTTCAAGAATTTTCATGTAAAGCCACTACTTTCGAAAATTCATCCTTTTCTCGAACAGGACGTAGTAGAACGCGCTGGCCGATAAAGCTGCATTATCTTCAACTATCTTTTTAATTCATGAAAGTGATAGCGAATCGGCCAGCCATCGTCTGATTTATTTGTTCTTGTTATTATTGTTATTATTATTCGCACTGCATCTAATTTCTTCTGTGTGTCTGAGTTGTATTGCTTTGCTATGTTAAGCGCTAGCTCGTTTGTATAGAACTTTGTGGGCACATTTTATTCTGTTTATTGTGTCACTTTGTCACTTCGCTCTTTTTTTGCTTATTGTTTCGGTGTAGCAGTCACTCGTGCGTCTTTTTTTAGGAACAATTTGCTCATACTGTGCAAAAATGATAAAAAGTCTTATACTGACTTGTGTTTTCAATGTTTCTAAGTTACAACTCTTCTATAATTTTTCCTTGACGCAGTGTTTTTGTTATAAGTACTTTCTGTCATTTTATTGCATTGTAAAGTGTAATATTAACAAATGTGTATATATGTAACCACTCTTGCCGACGACTTGGAATAAAAATCGGCAGTGTTAGCTACATGAATAAATAAAACTTAGCCCAACGTCAAGCATGTTTTTAAAGGACGATGATTTTTCGTAAGATACTTGCAGGCAGAAATTTTTGTCTCTGTCTTTCTATCTGTCGGTCTGTCACATCATCCAGCTGCCATCCATGGTTAAAAGCATCTGCTGAAAGTCCAGAAGTCCAGCATATATATATATATATATATATATATATATATATATATATATATATATATATATATATATATATATATATATATATATTACCTTTTGATGTTTTTATGGATTGTCAAAGGCTTCACTTAGATCGTGCATCACACGTATACACCCATTTCCAAAATACAAAACTACATTTCCTATAGACAGAAGCTCCCTGTGATCGATGAGTGTGGCTGCGTGTCAGGGCCCAACGCAGCACTCGTCGGTAGACAGTAGCTTTCAAGCTGAAGCGTTGTTTATATAAGCTTTTGTTGTATGTCTATCACCCAGTGTGGCACTATGCATAATAGTGTAGTGGAAATATCTGTCGCAGTTGTGGATAAGTTATTTTTTCTCCTAAATTTTCCGTGTTTTTTTTTTTCTCTGGCTCCTACCACTTTACTGCTAGGGCACTGTACTCGCAGCACATGTAAGAGGGCACATTTTGCTTTTCAAACTTCGCTCCGCTGATAGGATTGTTGTCATAGCACACTTTTACACAGTCTTTCCTTTCAGGTACAAATGTTAAGTTTTGCAGTTAAATATAGCGCATCATCGTTAATATAATGACACATCTGTTAATCGTAACTAGTTGCCAAATATATTTCAGTTGGTCATTTCGGCGTCATGTGTGATAATAACAGCAGTTCACAGGTCTTTTCATAAGTCCAGATCATGTACTAAGAAATATTGATAATATTGAAGTATAAACTCGGAAAAAGAAATTCAAAACAAAATGCAGTCAGATAAACCATGATCATTACCGCTTTATTATTCCAAGCTTAGTGAAGGCAGGTAAAGGTGGAGAGATAATGGAAAACGTATGAAGATAAAAAAAGTGCTTGCTGAGTGTATTATATGGCAACAAACGCTACGCGGAGAGAATTCTCCTGTAAAGAAGGGGCGACATGCAATGTGCGTCACTGCTACAAATAAAGGAAGTCCTAAAATTATTACAACGCTTTCGGAACGTAACAACTGAGGCATTCTCGAATGAGAGAAGATGATGAAACATCTGTAAATGTCGGCGGTCTTGAAAACCGTCATTATGATACATTAACCAAAGCCTTCCGGATGCAAAACGGGCTGCGAGACTTGCATAAATTGAGGCAACGTTGAATAACGCTGCGAAAGACTGAATGCGGACTACGCGGTACGAAAAATTCAAGCAGCCGGAACGGCAACCAAACGATCTCGGCGAACCTGCCTGCACGAACTACAGGTACGGTGAACTAAAGCAATTTCCGAGAGTGTCTGTACGGAGAGGATTTGTACAGTGCGGGTCAGCGAATGCCTAATTCGTCTCGGAAACCAATTACGAGCACCATTATGGTGGCCTCGCACGACTGCCGCCTTTTTTGGATGTAAACGAGTATTCAAATGAGGTGCTCGTGAGTGTTACGCGAATGACGCAGCGAGAGTCGTCAGCCTGCGAAGTATTCTGGCGCAAGCCGTGACATTCGTTGAACAGTGATCAGCATTCAAGATGGGCTTTGTGTGCAGCACCCTGTGCTGCCACGATGAAAATAAAGCGCCTATAGATTGGCTTATGGTTAATAACTGTTAGTGTTTTAGCCTAAATACTACGCTGCGAGTTTGAGTAATGCCGTGATGGAGGCCTCCGCAAATTTTGGCCATCTGGTGTTGTTTAACTTGCTTTTAAATTATTTCACACTAACGGGTCGCTAGCATTTCTCCCCAATCGAAACGGAGTCACTGCCTCTGGTATTGATTCCCGAGTCCTTAGGGTTTGCATTCGAGCACCATAACTGGCACACCAAAGAGGCTTGGCTTTTTGTTGTCAACAGAGCTGCGTATATTATGATAGAGCCTACATGCAGTACTAGAAAAGGATTTGCACGCTGACCTCTGCATTTGTAGAAACTGTATATCAAGAGCAATAAGATGTAGAAGAGAACTAAGGGAAAATGTAGCACCAGGAAAATGACTCTGTGCTGCCGCAAAGTGTCCTTTGAGAAAAAAAGCTGGGTTGTAACAGGAGGGGCTCACAGGGATATGACACAGAGCAGTTTCCGGGAATTAAGCATGTCTTTGTTTGGGGGCATTGAAGCCCAGATCATATTATATTATTATTACATAATTTATTATTTCCTGGAATTTCGGTTTGGCTTGCTGTACTTTTAATTCACGGTTCACTTATCTTAAGAAGCCTCCCTGATCGGCTATTTGATTTTCCTTTACACTGGCTTCAAGGAAGTGAAGGAGCAGGCCCACTATTTTCAACTACATGGACGAGAGGGTCATACACCAAGACTTTAATCAAGTTTTGTTTCTAAAACCAAAGAATACACGAAAGCGCCAACAGTGCTTCGTTAATTGAAGATGTCGTATTGTCGTCCACTCGCTCACTGCACGCTTTTGGTATGGTCGCGGGGTCGGGACGGAGAAGGCGGATGCAGACTGTAGGTTCAAGACGAAACTATTTATTAGGCTAACTTGTGGCTGGTTAATGGAAAGCCAGATTACAGTGATACACACTGGCACTGATAGCGGCGGACAGAGCGTTGGTGCTAATCTGTGTCGGCATTTATAAAAGTCTCGTTGAATACTTTAGCTTTATGACTAGTCGTCGTGCAAGCCCTGACATAGTATCAAGTGTTCCGTCTTGAACCCAATTTTAACACACTGATCTACAATAATCGCGAACCTTCTAAAACAATGAAGCGCGTTTTTGGCGCTGAGCATTTCTGACAGGGTTTAGGTGCGAAAACTGATTTAAACCAAAAGGGAAAATAAAAAACGTGCTTTATTAATCGGGCTCACCTAAGACGTGTAGCGAGTGCAGTCTAGTTGCCAGAGCATGCCGTTACTGCGGAACATGCGAAATGATTCTGCGTACAACGCTTTGTGAAGATCAGGGTCTCGATTCACTCCATTGTATGGAAATGTATATTTTTTTCTTACTTTTGTTGAATCCTCCCTTTTGCTGAAGTACGATATTCATCAACGATACGAAAGTTTTTTTTTTTATTTGGAGCTGCTGATCAAAAGCTCAAGTAGTGTTAATGGATAGCCGAGGATGCTCAGATGCCCAACATATGCGTTTATGACGCTGTTATAACGCAGCTGGCAGAGATACGGCAAGGTTTGGGTACACGGTAAAGAACCCCTAGGTGGTCGAAATTTCTGT